CTTATTTTTAGTTTTTATTTGGATTACTCTGATATCATTTGGAATCAAAGCGAGATTGACCTTAGTCTTATGCTAGGGTTTCTAACATCCACCAATGCTCAATCCTATTCCACCCAAAACTCTTCTCTTTTCAGTTTTTCCAAATCAGCCAACCAAAAATTTTCTTTCTAACCCTACACAAGCCATATACACCATCTTCCACCTACCCAAACCCAAACCCTGGCCTTGTCAACGATGTGACAATAGACGAAAGTCTGATCGAGGGTAAAGGACATGATCTCATTTATGAGAAATTTACAAAGAGGTGTCCAGAAATATTTTAGGGGAGATATGCAGTGGAAAATCCTCCAACTATAACAGAGGCACGCCGCTTTCAAGAGGAGACTATTTGGAGAGGTCACACAAATTTCATTCGATCCTCGAGTTGAACCACCACCCTGAAGATTTGGCATGAAATATTGGAGAAATTAGATATTTGCAGTAAATGTGGACTCGTCATATTTTGACGGCCACATGGATCCGGAAAAATTCATCGAGTGGCTATAGATATTGGAATATGTCAGCGCTAGGACGTCTCACTGGACATAATAGTGAAACTAGCCATCAACAATGGGCGAACTTGAAGATTCTTTCTACAGCGAGTTGCAAGATTAAAATTGCTTCTTGACCTAAAGATGAAACAAGAGATGTAGTGTTAGTACCAAATAGTTCTTAACAGACATGATGTTCAAACCCCAGCTTTCTCACTAAGTCACTACCACATCTTACAAGCAAAGTTCAACCAGGAGAAGATGAATACGTCCGAGATGAGCCTCATCTTCAAGCCGATGAGGAAGTGACGCTAGAGATTCAAATTGAATCATGATAGGCTCCAACTAGATTTGTTGAGGTTGTTTTAGAAGATAGTGAGTCTGAGTAGTCGTTACCTGAAAGGAATAATTCTTTTTGACGGAATTTACAGACATCCTAACTGACACGTCACCTATTCGGTGGTTTTCATTGAAATTGTTGAACATGTAAGAAATGAGAAGTTTGTGAACTACTTCTGGAAGATTATATGAAGTTATTCATATATTAATTTCAATTCAGTGGTGTACCCACTGACAGATTGCTGGACATGAGGAATGACCACAACGTTGGAAATAGTCTTAGGAGCTCAGTGGAAAAGAAAATTCTACAATGTGATCTAGGTCCTACTAAAGGAGAATATGCCTCTTCTGAGTAGTTACACTTTGGTGTGGCCCAACCTGCCATAGATTATGTTTCAGAATTGTTTCCTCCTGACAGACTTATTTATCAGGTATACTCATTCGAGTACGAGGGGAGAAGCATGTTATAGATTTAATTGCTTGAGATTTGACTCGTAAGAATCTATGTTTATATGCAGCTGTAGCTCAGTTTATGTCAAAATAGAATGAATACATATTTAATTAGGATGTGGTTTGGAATGACAAAACCTACATGATTGACTTTCTGGGAAGTTATAGTAGCTCCACCACCTTCAACGCGATCGTTCTGATATGCTGCTATGAGTCAAAACTTTGACTGATGAGATCGAAGCTCCCCCAACCCTTGGAGACTGATGCGGGAGTGACTCCCCCTTCACACACAGGCCTGACCCACACGTGGCTGATCCATGTTCCAGTGCCTTGGCCGACCGATTCATGTATTAGGAGAGCCGATTGGCTCATTCTTTTGGGTTTTAACAATCCGTCCAATCATAATTATTAGGGCATATATGTTTGTTTCTTGTGTTTTAAGTTTTCAGTTTTGCTGTGTGTTTTGTTCAAGGCAGCCGTCGGCTTCTTCGCTTCTCCCTTCGAGGGTTGTATCCAATGGTTGAGTGATGCTTCGGCTGTATCTCACTCCCGATGTGGTGTTTTATCCTTCCCTATTGCTCTCTACACTCCACGCTGCCCCTAGAACAACAACCATTGTTGTTTTTCCCTCAGCTCCCCCATTCTCAGCTGACTCCCTCCCTTCCTAGAACAACCGTCTCCACCCTTCAAGAACCTTCCTACGTCACTTCCAATTGCCTCCCCCTGCTGCGGCCATCTGGAAAACAACAATCCTGTTGTTTTCTTATTGTCCAACTGTTCGGCTTTGCTGTTGCAGACCCAAAACTCCTTCCCTAGCTATTCTATTGTTATACAACTTTCGACATCGCTGTCGTAGTCCCATCATTTCTTCTTGCTATTCCAGCTGCCCATAAGCCATACCGTCACTTTCCTACATCCAAAACTACTTGTTCCATCTCACCTAGCCAACCTTCACTCTTGGATCGACCTCTAATTGAGTTTCTGTGCAAGTCCATTGTTATTTTCTTTTTTGTGTTGTTTGAAATTTCCTATTTGCTTTCAATAATAATATCTTGTTTTTTATTATTTTTTTTAGGTTAACTCCAGTATCAATGTCTGTCGTCATTAACATCCTTTTGTTTTCCTCACTTTGAAATGCTGCAAATGCTTCCCGAATGGTGGTAGGGGGTTTAATTTTCATGATTCTCCCCCTGATTTTATCTAAGCTTTTCTTGAGGCCAAGAAGAAATTTGATGGTTTTTTTTTTTAATTCAATAATCTATCTATACAAGGCAAAGTCCTTGAGACAATTTTTGGAATAAGCCTCATACATGTCCAGTTGTAGCTAGCATTGCATGAGTGTTTAAATATTGAGTAACACTCGATTCCCCTTGATTTAGATAATGCAGTCTTGCCTCAATCACAAATATCTCTTTGAGTTTCTAGTTCTATAATATATTTCACATGCAACCTCTCATATTTCCTTGATTATTCTATGGAGCAGGAATTTTTCTCCATTTTTATATTTTTATGGAATTTATTAAACATGACATTGCCAAGTTTTGAACTGATATTTAGAATGTCATTTCTAGCTCAAAAATTTTGCCTGTGAGATATCTACCTTTTCTTTGTTGTAGATATTTATGAAGACGAGTTGTAGATATATATGAAGGCGGATTGTGACCATTGAAGAAAATTATGGTCATGTGGTTTTTGATTAGTGACTAGGCGGGATGAGTTCTCAGGTACATTTGGTACTGAATATGTAGACTTGGATATGGAGGTGACTTACAAGGAAGAAGATTGTGAGGCTATGTTGTGTTTGATCGTGATGAGATTGTGAAACTCGTATCTAGAAGACCAACTACACGAATGAAATCGAGAGAAGTCTCTTAATTCGATTGTTGGACTGGACGAGTAAACTAGAACTAGGGAGAGGAGGATTCTTAGTTCAATTAATCATCTGAACAAGCGAACAAAAACTAGAGGGTGGCGCACAACTCTTGTTTTTCACGAGTTTGGCACAAGGTGACATGTAAAAGGACAGTTAGGGTAACCAGAATCTATCACAATTACATAAATCTAATTGGTTGTTGAAATTGAATTGATTGCAGAAATCTAACAGAACATTCGAACAAATGATGGAAATCGATTGTAGGAGCTGAATCGACCTCGGGAACTGCGTAACTGCTGCGATATGGTTGTGGCTTGAGCGTAGGATAGCGACTAAAGGGACGAGTTAGCAGGTTTTGAGATTTTGTTCGAACTGAGCAAGGAGATGGAGGTCTGTGACTTGTGCGTACGAAAGAGACGGAGATGAAGGTTTATGTACGCATCGATCCTTTAGTTGTGGTTGGAGAGGCGTGCAGGGAGGCGATGGGGATTCCTGAGATGTTGTGATTGTGGTTAATATTGGCGTCGAAGACAACTTCGGAGAATCTTATGGATTCGTCATCGTCATTTGTGAGGAACACAGTTGCGGATGCGAACTCAAACGAATTAGGTTTCACTTTGATGCCATATAGATATTTTGAGAATGGTTTTTATTTCTTGCACCATAGCAAATTGCATTTTACTATATGTAATAGAGTGGATGGTATTTTACTCCACGAAATAAGAAACTTGGATTCCTTTAAAATTACGAATCCCATAAAATTAGAAGACCAAAAAATTAGGAAATATCTACTAATTAAGAAGATAAATATTAAAAGATATTTTTAGTGAAGAAAATAATATCCTTCCCAATAGGGGTGTAAACAAGCTGAACTTATATTTCGAGCTCAAAAAGTGTGTTTGTGTTCGGCTTGTTTGCTTAACGAGCTGAACACGAGCTGTTCACGAACAAAGAGTCCTTTTAACAACCCTAATCATGTAGCCATAAGACAATAAGAATTTGAGTAAGATTTAAAAATTATTATTTATATTAAAACATCATTTGAATCTAATTTAATAATTTTTATTCTATTTTCTTAATCAATATTTTAATTGATTATAAATCTTTGTAGCCTTGTAGTCAATTAATTTTTTTTAAAACACTACTTATAAATATATATATATATTGGTATCTTTCCTTTTTTTGGGTTTCTCTGTATCTTTTTTCTTTTGGGGTGTTTGTGTGTGTTGTATTGTATGGGTATGGTGCCTTTATTGGGCCCTTTTATACAACAGTTATGTATCTTTCCTATTTTAATAGATTTAGCCCTTAGGTCCTCGGCCTTTTATATAAAAAAAAGAAATATATGTATATAAACTTTATGAGTAGTATTTCGAGCCAAAACGAGCCGAACACGAACGAACACATCTTAGTTCGTGTTCGGCTCGTTAACTTATCGAACGAAATTAAAGAGCCGAACACGAGCTTCTTAATGAGTCGACCATTTTGACAGCCCTACTTCCCAATTGAATTTATAGATAGATAATGGCAAACGATTTTCAGACAAAAAGCTTACAGACCTAAAATAGGTTGTAGGATGTGATTTTTTTTATAAATTACTTGATGCTAGAATTTGTAATGTATTTGGATGTAGAAAAATTTTAAAATTTAATTTGAAACTTTTCGTTTTCCAGGTTATGGTTTATAATACTTGATAAAATGAATGGTTACACATTTATATAATATTTTCATTTTGCCCCACTTTTAATTCCTGCTCTGGAATTTACATGTCAAATCTAAATGATTTAATAAGACATTTTACCACTCAGGGAACACCGCCAGCAACTAGATACATCCCAAATTTGGTTCTTTTCTGTCCACTATTTCTTCTGCAAGGGGCTGGTGTCTTGTTTGCCATATCAAAGTTGGTGGAGAAGCTGGTTCTTCTTTTTCGCAGCGGATCACTGAATGGACGGTATCTCACAATCTCATCAAGAACTCAAGACTGCTTTGCTTTTCTGCATCATGGCTCAAGGTATTATTTACGTACAAGCATGCATTTCTGTATTAAATTTTGGAAGATTTACATACATGCCACATAAATACTGCATCTCTACACTTCTAGCACCTATATTTCAGTTTTTACATATATACCACTTACCTATATATGAAAGATGTATTTCACTTTTTAAAGTTAAAATGGTTGTTTTTTTTTTTTTTTTTGCGATATGAAAGATTTGGTTGGTATAAATGTACAAAGCAAAGCTTAGGTGTTAGTTATGCAAATACACAAGAATTGAATGGTATATATGTAAACGCCCCTTAAATTCAATTTAAAAAAAATGATAGCTTTGTTCCTTTGCTTGCATGTCATATTCTTGCAATGCAGGCTAATTGGATGGTGGTCCATTGATGAAGGAAGCAAAGAAGAGCAAGCACGGCTTTATCATGCTGAAACAATTGGGTATGAAACAATGAATAAATGAAATAGTATGCATGACTTGATTAATTTTTTCATAGATGAGAACCGCTTCATATTTTACTGTGATTGGGATTCCTTTTTTATTAATTTAATTACAGCCAACTGCCTTTTGCGCATTTTTAGCGCCCCATGCTTGGAATTTTTGCTTTTGTATAGATTATAGTATTCTGGCTTCTGTTATTTATGTTGCGTCACTTGGATGCTTGATGTTACAATGTGCAGACGAGATTTATTTTTGGGGCATTTACATGGCGGCCACCCAATTTCTGTGTATTTACATATCTGACGCCTAGAGTTTACTTTTTACATATCTAACACCCAAATCTTCTATAACACATCAAAAGTGCCATTTTCAACTTTTAAAGAGAGAAACGCTTTTTTATGCATATGTAAGGTAGCCTTTATGTGAACATTGATGTTTAGACGTTAAATATGCAAATACATAGGGATTGAGTGGTATGCATGTAAATCTTTCTTTATTTTTTCCAAGTATCTCTTTGTTGCATGATAATCTACAATTATGGTTAGGAAAACGGCCACCTATGCTATGATCTTATTAAATAGTGATTTTATGGTCATAAAATTTTAAAACCAATTGTCTGTGAGAGAGAGAGAGTAAAAAAAACTCTCACTGGGCATGTGAGATTTTGGGGCTGTAGTTTTCCTTCATTCAGTTGATAGGAAAGAGGAGGTTGGTTATAATTATTTTTTTCCTCGACATTAGATAATCATAACATATTTGTCACTACAATTGAGAGAATTGGGCTTTGTACTAGCAAGATTTAAAATCTGAGGTCCAGGTTGAGAAATTATAGACAGCTTATCAGGAATTGGACGGTTGAATCTAAATGTAAATTTGTTCTAACACTGAATGGGATGCAATGGAGAAAAGAGATTCATGTAGCTAACCCCACTTAGTGGGATAAAGGCTACTTGTTGTATATTAATCACAGGTATAATAGTCGAGGTAATATTTGTGGATGCAATAGAATGTTTGTGTAGTATTGCACTTATAAGAGGTCAAGCATTCGGTCAGTCTGACATTAGAACAAAGGATTATCTTGTTTTAATATTCTTTTTTTATTTGTTATTTTGCTATTAGAATGTGCACCTTATTATTTTGTAGAAAAAATGTTAAGCACATAAAATAATTGTTTATTATTTGATAACTAATCTTGGTAGTAGCCTTTTAATAGCCATGTCGCTTTTTTTTATGAGGAATTTTTACTTTAAAAAATAAATTATAGTTGCCATGCCTTCTATGTTTTCAAACATGCTTGACTATAAAATTTCTTATAATCAAATTTATAATAATTTTAGCGAGCAACTAATGGTTTCTGTAAGCATGCTTTTTATAAGTACTTAATCAGTCACACAAAAGACTTATGAATACGTATTTGAACTACTCTTAAGCTTCTCTATTTCTATTTGCCAAACAACCTAAGTGGTCTCAACTTGCCGTTTTCCTGGGCAATTCCATTCTTTTCAATGCAAAAAAACATACCACCTCTTACAATTATACCTTAAATTACTGGTAATAATTCCTGCATTGATTATTTCTGATATATTGGGTTTAAGCCTTCTAGCCAATTATAGGTACAACACTTTCCAGGGCTACCCACCCGAGGTGGTGAAGAAAATGCCAAAGAAAGATCTTGCAGAGGAGGTGTGCTTATTCTTTCTGTTGCATATTTTGAATGTGTCCTTCATAATTTCCCAACTTGTTTGATGAGCTCGTGTTTTGATAGTTTTTTTTTTTTTTTAAAAATAAAAAAACATAACGTATTGTTTGTTTTCAACTATTGTTGAAGTGTTGAAGTGTGGTTTAGGATTTTTGTTGGACTGCAGGTCTGGAGACTGCAAGCAGCTTTGGGTGAACAAGCTGAGATCACTAAGTACAGCCAACAAGAGTATGAAAGACTCCAAAATGTAATTTATATCTCTAACCTTGCAACCAGTCTACATGCCCCCAAATGATTTTGACTAACCAATTCTGTTAGTAACGATTATTTATAGTTTCTTTTCTTTGGACAAGTTACATACATACCGCTCAGTTCTTATATATTTACATATCTAGCACCTAAACTTTAATTTTAACATGTAGGTCATTTTACCTATGCATGAAATGTTGTATATCACTTCTTAAAAGTTAAAATAGTGGTATTCTTTATGTGATATGAATGATTTAGGTGGTATAAATGTAAAAAAAAAATAAATTTTAGTGGTTTTATTTGTCAATATATTAGGGATTGGGTGGTATGTATTTAAACGGTCCTTCTTTCTTTATAAGTTCTATGGCATCTCCTTATACCATGTGGTACACCTGTCATAATGTTTGAGTTCTTATTTTTACTTGGTTTTGCTGCTTCCCAGATACACCATAATAATTTTAAACTGTAATGCTTCAAAATGTTTTTAGTACTTTTTTGGCAGGTTTGCACCAGTCTTGAGAATAGTATGTTTACATGCAAGGGTAATGGAAGCTAAAACAAATCTTCCCGTGTATGAATTTTATTTATGGGGCAACACAATTCTTATATATTTACATATTTGCCACGTTAACTTGCATATTTATATTCATAACACTCAAAACTTTAACATCACATCAAATTACCGCCATCATTAACTTTTAAAAGGTGAAATGCATCTTCTCGCGCATAGGATTGTGGGCTCCAAAAATTTGCGCCCCGGTCTCTTTTGTTGGTGAGAGAACTTTTTGTTCGGTATTCCAAATCAGTTTTTCAAAAACAATTTGAGTTTTCTCATAGGTGTAAACACCTATAGTTAATTATGCCTCCTGATAACAAGAGAGCACGTTGGATTAAGGCTTGTAATTAAGCATTGAATATTCAATGTATGGTAGCAACAGATTTATGCCTTTAGATTATAAATTTTATCACCTTGCGCTTAAAGTTTATGGCGGGGGGGGGGGGGGGGGGTTTGGTGGTGATGGGGTTTAGGGGTAGTCATCATGGTCTGTGATATACTTAATCAGACGGGGTAGTTAACATAATATCACTGAAAGATCTTTGCCAACAATTGTGGGTTGCATCATTCAAGAGATCCTTGTAGATCTAGGGTGGATATTTATCTACAACAACAACAACAACAAAGCCTTAATCCCACTACTTGGGGTCAGCTACATGAATCATTTTTCTCTATTGTGTCCTATTTAGTGTCATATTTTCATTTAGTTCTAATAAATTAAGACCATTTTTTATACAAAAAGCCCAAATCTTCCTTGGTTTATCTCTGCCTTTCTTAACATAAGTCGAATCTAAAACATCAACTCTCCTAATTGGATCATCAGATGGTCGACGTTTAATGTTACTAAACCATCTGAGACGATTTTCTTTAATTTTGTCCGTCATAGGAGCTACACCAACTCTATCGCAGATATATTCATTTCGCATTGTCTCTAAGTGTAAAGCCATTCATCCAACTAATCATTCTCATCTCGGCAACACTTAATTTAGTGTTATACTTCTCTTTTAATTTATTAAATTTTCCTTTCAGTCTAAGCGGTACTTTTTATCACTCCAACGGTCCGAAGCATTCGTCCACTTCAACCAACCAACTTAAATTCTATTATTAACATCTCCATCTATAGACATCTATATCGCCATCGCTTTGATATCGCCATCGCTTTGAACAACAGACCCAAGATATCTAAAACGTAAACATCTTTTAATCATGTGATCACCCAAAGTTACACTTGTTACTAGGGCTACTACTACTAAAATTACATTCCATTTATTTAGTTTTAGTTCTAATCAAATGCAGTCCTTTAGACTTCAATGTAGACCTCCATAATTCAAGTTTTTCTTTGGCTTTTTCTCTCGTTTTAACCACGAGAAAGATATCATCAACAACAAGCATACACCAAGGTACATCCCTCCTCTAAATGTCTGTAAGACCATCCATTACTAAAGCAAAAAGATATGGGCTTTAAGCCGATCCCTGAATCCAACAGAAATTGGAAAATATTTGTTCAATCCTCCTTCAGTTCAAACACAAGTAACAGCTCTAGTATACATATATTTAATGAATTGAATATAAGTCATATCAACACCTTTCTTCTCAAGAACTCTCCAAAGTATATCTCTTAGAACCTTATCGTTAGCTTTTTCTAAATCAATAAAAATCAAATGTTCTCCTTATTATCTCTGAACTTCTCCATTAAACCTCTCAATAAATGTATAGCTTCCATAGTAGAGCTGCCCGACATAAATTCAAATTGATTATGAGAAATCTTTGTAATACATCTTAACCTATGTTCAAGTACCCTCTCCCATAATTTTAAAGTATGACACATCAACTTAATTCTTCTATAATTTGCACATTTTTGTGCTTCCTCATTATTATTAAAAATGAGGACCAAAAAACTCTTCCTCCACTCTTCAAGCATTTTTTTAGTTTGAAAATAATATTAAAGAGTTTAGTAAGCCAAGAAACTCCCAAAGCTCTTAAATATTTCCACACTTCAATTGAGATATCATCAGGTCCTACAGACTTTGAACCCTTGATTTTCTTTAAAGTCTCCTTAATTTATTTTTTACCAATGCAACGGTAAAAGTGAAACGTTTTATTATTATTAACGATATTAAGATCTTTAGGGTTGATCGTATTTTTAGAAACTTCATTAAAAAGTTTATCAAAATAACTCACCCAGCTATGTTGAATATCTTTTTTCCGCTATGTTGAATATCCAGCTATGTTGAATATCTTTTTTCCAAGAAAACACTTTTTGATTTTCACATTTAATACACTTTACTTGAGTTAAATTTTTTGGCTAATTTATGCATATTTTTTCACCCTTAATATCTAATTTATTATAAAGATTATTAAAAGCAGAATTTTTAGCGTCACAGATTGTTCTTTTAGACTTCATGTGAGCTGTTTGATATTTTTCTCAGTTATCTAAGTTTTTACATTTAAACCAATTTTTATAACATAACTTCTAATATTTTTTCTTCTCTTGCACATTATCAATCCACCACAATTTTTTTTATTTATAGAAACTATTTCTTTTGATTCTTCATGTAAATCTTTTGCTACTTGTTTAATAGTGTTTAGGGTACTTGCTTTTGCTTCTTCATGAACATCCCAAATTTTGAAATTTTAAAATTTACTCCTTAAAATAATTTTATTTATGTATTTTAAGTTCCCCATCTAATTTTACGATTGAATTTTAATATTTTTTATTTTACAACTCTTCATCTTAAAATATAGAACTAATAAACGATGTTGGATACCTAAATCTTCAATTGGAACGACCTTACAATTTTTATAATCTCAACGATCTACCTCCTTCATTAGTAACTCCATTTTCTTAGATCCATTCTTGTAAGTAATAAGATGTTCATCTATTTTCTTGAATAATGTATTAGTAATAACAAAATCATACGCTAAAGCAAAATTTAAAATTGCTCTATCTTCTTCATTAGTTACTCCAAAACCGTAGCCTGAATATTTCTGAAATCTTCTACCACTCTACCGACATGTCCATTTAAATCTACTCCAATAAAGATTCTTTTTTTAAGAGGTTTCATTTGTATTAATTCATCTAAGTCATTCCAAAATTTATCTTCAGACCCTATATCTAAATCTATTTGCAGAGCATAAGCACTTATAATATTAAAAATCATAGTATTAATGATAATCTTAAGAGTTATAATTCTATCTCCAACTCTATTAATTTTTACAACATTATCTTTCAAACTCTTATCTATAATTACACATACATCATTTCTAGTGTGACTTACCAGAATATCAAAGTTTAAAACTTAAATTATCAATCTTCTTAGCCTTTTTTCCAACACATTTAATTTCTTGAATACATAAGATATTAATCTTTTTATGAATCATAATATCAATTAATTTTATTATTTTATCATGGAGAATACCTATATTTCAAGATCATATCCTAATATTAGTTTCATTAGTTTCATGAATTAACTTATTTACTCGTATCTGGCCGTAATGTGGAACCCTTGCTTATTTGACATTACACCCGGGCGCCTGTGCAGCGACCCTTGGAGACTTTTTATTGTATTCAGGTTATACAACACGTCGCTTCCAGGGGACGTCCTAACACTTACACAATGATCAAAAAGATTCATGTCATGATTTTTTTTTTTTTTTGACATATTATACGCTGGCTATTGCGGGTGGATATTTGTCTTAGGGTTAGCTGACCTAAGACTTTGTGTCAATCAATTGTATTCTTTTGATTTATAAATCAAATGATAGAAAATCGTTGAGGAATATACGGGCTACAGTGATGACCATAATTTAATGGTGTCTTTTGGAGACAAATCACCCAATCAGATATAACTCTTGTTGTAATCATTATTTTTTGTGAGTCGGGCGAAATCACGTAAATAGATGACCTATACATTCGATGTGATATTCTTTATAAGTCGAAGTCAATCAAAAGTTTGTCACTCTTAACAAATTTTTGTGAATGGTAGATTGAGTTTGTTTTAAGCTTTTAAGTAATTGATTTTAGCTTAGATGTTTTGATATGTTACTTTGATAACTTGATTTGAAATGTTTGATTTAAAAAAAATTGATCCATTCGGTTGATGTTTTTTTGTCAACACGTTCTTTATCAGTGATTTTATTTCTTGGTTGAAACCCTGTCAAATTTTTTGCATATTGTTTGTAAAGGATCGGGCTTAAGATTAACAGATGAGCATTGTCAACTTCATTCTATTTATAGAAAATCAAGTTCATTGTATCTATTATTAAAATTAATTTAATTATGAAGCTTAATTTTGTAAGTAGACCTCTTGAGTTGAAATCTTCTATCAAATTGAATATTATTGAGGATTATATCTAATGTAAGGTGCTATATGTAAGTAGGAGAAGTTTAGTTCTAGGAATTTATTTGTAAATGTTGTAAGGCTCTATATAAGCCCAGTGCA